TTTTGTACTTTCTCAATCCTAGATATATCTATGTGAAACTTTTGATTTCATATTTTGATAATAATATAGCCAATGGAAACTTTTACTGCTGGAGATAAATCTTTTAAAACTTTTTTCTGATTAGAAAGCATGCAAAGCTTTGACACCATATGTAGGAACCGTATCAATTTCAGTTTTCAGCTGTGTATATCTGTTCAATTGCCAAAATGTTGTGGTGGATATGGAGGAGCAGCTCTTTACATAAGTACAAATAGAAATTTTGCCGTCCAAAGACTAACAGGTAATGAATATATATTTAAAATTCATATGTAGTTGGTAGACTACACCATCATCTGTCGGTATATTTTATTGTTTTCTTTGTATAAAAACAATATAATTTCACTGTCACATCTCCTGGACCAAAATTATAAACAATTCTTAACTAACTAATGCATCACCTTACATCTTATATATTACATTTGGAATACCCGTAAATAAATAAAATAAATATTCGAATTGAATCTCATTAGGTTTTCATCAATAAAGTAAATACATAAACTATCACTGTTTGTTCGATATAACGAAAGAAACATTTTCCGAAAGCTTTTCTACCGAGCTCCTATTACAAATGGTTGCTAATAGCATTTTTCCAGTAAGCTACAATTGAACGACAAGAAAGTCGATTCAAATCAAAGCCAAATTTCACTTGGACGGTTCTTCAACTGTTCAATGGTGTAAACATCTCCCCAGTCAACACAAAAAGATGGTATAACGTATTTTCATTGGTTCAAGTTATACAATATAAACCTCACCGAATCCATTCAAAGATGTGTGACTTCCTCAGGAAGGCTTTCCTGAAAAAAAAGTGAGGCTGGATTTTCTTTTTTTTTGCGAGAAAGCCTTTTCAAGTATGCAGAATTTTCAAAACGCCCTATATAAACAAACCACCACCTTGACGACTGAACATTCATTTGGTTGGTACTCACCATTTCTGTGGAAAGGCAGTTGATAGCGTGTTCTACCGTTTTCTTGTGGTGGAGCTTGGTCGACGTTTAAGGCAAAATATAAATTATAAATCAATACCACCTCCACAAGCCACATTAACAACAGTTTTTTTTATATAGAGGAAGATAGGTTAGGTGCACAAAGGCACAAAATATCATATGTCACAGAATGTCTCGGAACTCGGAACATAAGTAAACAGAATAGCATGCCTATGAAATATGTCATCTTTGTTTGTCTCATACAGGTAACAGATTCATTGTCCTTTATTAGCTATAAGCGATGTTGCCAAACGGTGAAATAGAAACGAATCCCTTTAAATGTTGAATGCATTATTTCATTCCTCTTTTTTAGGTATTTGAATAATTTTTTAAGAAAATGGTTGAAATGATAAGTTTAAAATGCATTGTTTTAGAGCTATTTTATAAAAAATACTTGATTTCAATAAATTACCACAGAGACTTAAAATGTTAGAGAGCTTGAAAAAATTCAAAACAGGTGTCAAAGAGGTCTTGATCAAGTTAGAACCTTATTCACTTCAGGAATATCTAGATAATTTATAAACCTTCATGTAGAAATTGTTTGATGTTGTTTCATTTTATGTTTGATGTTTTCTTTATGAAATTTAGAACATTTTCTGAAATATATTGATATTATTATAACTATTTTGAAATTAGTAAATAGACATGTACGGCCCTGACACTCTCAAAAGAATGTTTAATAGTTTTGATTGTCAAAGATTGAACAACTCTTTCCTGAGCGCTAGGTCCCTAGAAACAGTCCCATAACACAGCTTCAGACCCAAAAAAGCATATTAGAGTTTTATCATGATTGAAGAGAACGAAATCCGGAAAAAAACGCACACACCAGTGATGATAGCTGCTGCAGTAGCTTGAATTGAACCTGAAATACCAAACGTATTGTCTATACGTTTGGTATTTCAGGTTCAATTCAACTACGAACTAGCAGCCTATGTTTTTATTTATCAGCTGAGTTTTTCAATTTATGTGTGTGCTCCATTTTAAAACCCGAGGTTTCAACAAGTTTTTGTCTATTGTGAAAATATAGATAGTTTGTTTTCTGTGGGTCCAGACCTGGTCATTTGTTTTTTTCGATACTACATACTGATTTGTCGGAATACCCCAAAAATAATTTCAACCAAAAAGAAGGGGGAATTAACATCAATAATGTATGGATGCCTGCACTAAATTACACCCACAAAAAGAGATTATTCATTTCAACCAATAGAAATGAAGCCACGCCCGCCACCAATAAACCCAGAGACTCGAACCTTGGTGGTATCTGATGTGAGAACAACCAGAGCGCTTTGTTTGATGCCTCATAGCTTTTGATAATGTCTATCACAGTCGTAAACAAAACATCAAACCTTCAGGCCACGGCTAACAGAGCAAATAGCTTTCAACACAAAAGTATGCTGATTTAATATAAATTTTGTGTGCCAAGCACGTTTTAAAAGTAAAGAATGATTTTTGGTATCTCATTTTACAAAACTACTAGAAACCAAGTTTCAAAATATATCCAGTATTCTGAGAAACAACTACATTTTCTAAATATCTTCAGACTAGTGTAAGACTTTACTTCAAAGACAGGCGATACAGGGCTATTTCAAATTACAATCAATGCAAGCATATAATTGGGAAATGGCATCATAGCTTATTTTTTTACCTTACTATCAAATACAGGATATCGAGATGTATCTTCCTGGACGAATGTTCGTCAAAATCTGAGCAAATGATAGTGCCAGTTCAATGCAACTGAAATAACGCCAAAAAAAATCACTCAATACATGCGGGTTATCTTGAATGATGAGTAACCCTGTATCTCCCTTTATAATTATTGAATGCAAGTAAAATATTTTTTATTAAAAGCCTAGAGCTAATCATTCCATTCCCTCATCCTCGCTATACTGGGTGACGACAAAATCATTGTACACGGCGCCATTCACTCGTTTGCGGGTTGAAAAATTTCAAATTCGGAACGAAGATATAGTTCATTGAAGCCGATATTTCCAATGATGAAACAATTGAAAACCTATTCTGGTTCAACAAATGAACAACAGTCAAGAACTTCATTAGATTTTTTTCAAGAGTTTTGTCCGTTTTGATATCATGTATTTTTGTAGTAATATATCTCAATGAATATTCATTCTAATGGTTCGTAGTATATACTGATCGATAGAGAATTTTCTACTCTATACATTGATGCTGTTAATTTTTTTTCGAATCTTTTTATGTCATCAAGCAATTTTTCGCCAATAAGGAGCAGGCAAAAACGGCCTTCGTCAAATTCATCGAATCTCAAGCACACAATTTTCATGCTGACGGAATTAATCAACTTGTGTTCCGTTGGCAGAAGTGTTAAATTGAATAGGCATTCACTGAGATATTACCGACTCATAAAAACGGACACAATTTTTGAAATTACCTTATGAATAAAACTATATATTTTTTCATCAGTTGTTAGGATATCTTTTCTACGATATAACACATTCATTCTATTCAAAATGTCATATGCTGCCATATGAGCCATTTTCTTCAGATTCAATATGGCGTATTATGACGTCATCTATGGAAACGTCAAACAGTTTGATATAATGATACAGAAAAGACAAGGGTTGCTTAGTTTTTGAGGAAAAATGCGAAAGCTGAAATTTTCAACTAATTCAGGTATATTGCTTGCACCTCGAACACATTGGTTTTTCCATCTCCATCCAGAGTTTCCTCTCTTGTGAAAGAATCCAAGCAATGTGACAATATTTTTGGAATGGATGAAGTTGAAACCGACATTTGAATAGAAATGGCCAATTGTGAAAAAATAATTCGACCGGAAAAAATGTTTGGCTTTATTCTCCATCATTGAACAAAAAATGTGGGAAAAATTAAAACAAAGGAAAAATAACTACAATGAGAACTCTGTACAAAGGTATGTTGTCGTTCATCCTAGTTCTGGCAAATAACATATGGAGCAATTTTTTTGTTTTAACTGCCCTAGCCTAGTCAGTACAAAAGATTATATTTACTGCAACATCCATTTATTTGTTGAATTCTCTAGAAATTTGTTGCTTTATCAAGAAATGTCAACGCTCTTTTCATTTAATCACTCACCCATATCTCCACTACTTGAAGATTCGGTAAAAGAAGGTGTACCTTCAGTCCACGTAGGCGTGGACCCTTCTACTGATGTCGGAGGAGTCCATGCTAGCCCCCTTGAGTGACTCGAGTGACCAGCTCCCGAACTTCCTGATTCCACACTCAGGGACGACTTATTTTCGGGTCGAGATTCTAGCTTTATATCACTTATGCTGAAATAACATATAAAACATTTGTTCATCGTTGTACAGGGGTAGTACAAAACTTTATAAGGCCAGTCAACAGATGAGTTCTTATATATACCAAACCCTTGCCTCTCATGTGAAATTTACAATATTTTGTAAGTATGTATGGCAGATACCCGATGGAAAAACAACAGCTAATCTAGCGAATGCCGCGCATAAACTGAAGTGAAGCCATTAGGCAGCTGTGCAACGACTTCCATTTGGAAGATATGTCGCAAGTAACTTCCTATATATAAAAACCTGAAATAGATTTCATTTGGTCGAGATGATAACCGACAGACCGGTTTCAGAGTTCTAGCTCCTCGTCAGTGCTGGGTGGGTCATTTCAAACGGAGTGAACCGTCTGAATACCCCGAACAAACAAAACTAATTCCAACGGTCTCAAGCTCTGCCTACAGTTGATTCAGTAGGATGTACCACTGCACCACCTGCAGCCAAGGTCCAGAGGCAAGTCCACAAACGCATACTCCAGGGTGAGAGTCAGAATTATGAACATATTTCTGAGAGATGCATATGAAATGCCTGACGGAAATGCATACAGTAAACTATTTTAGTAAGTTTTCATCAAGTATCGGTCAGTTCCATTCTACATCCCATCATTTTCTTCTGTATGTAATACACTTTACAGTTTGTCAAGAATAGGAAAAAGGGTGAAATTTTTGCGGCGTGCGCGTAATGAAGATCTAGAAAGCATTCGGAGGAACAAAGATGCAGATATTTGTGATTAAAGTTTTCTCTGCTTAGTGTAGATGTACAGTCTCCCGAATAAAACTGTGAAACCAACGTACAAAGTCCCCACTATTAGTCCATTTCATTATTGAATTCAAAATAATTTTGGTCAAGACAGGAAATGACTTGTTTAATTATGGAATCAGTATTATTTTGAGTTAGATATTGGATTTTTCTACAGATAATTCAAAATTATCCTCAGCTATCATGAGTCCATCTGTGTCATCTGAATGTACTATCACTTTACTTGGATAAGTATGAGAGTTATTCCATTCATGAATATAATGAACAACAAAGGATATAAAATCAATGATTGAGATACCCCCATTGTTACGTTCACTGGGACTAATTCAACAGTGTCAAATATGTGCGTTTGTTTTTCTAAGTGAAGCTGGTTGATACAATAACTTTCTGATTTGTTTAACAAACAACTACATTTTCATTCAAAATAATGATTGTGCCCTAATTCAGACTTCTAACATATATATACGAAGGTGCATTATAGATTGGTGATCAAACGGAAACAAAACTCACCTAACAGCATCGTCTTTGTAACTCCTGACGACAATATGGTGATGGGAAATGTAAGACTGGCTGGAAGAATGGGATCCCAAATGGGCATTCGAGGTTGAGGAAGAAGTAGCGCCTACGGTTAACGGTATATCACCGGTATTTTGATCCAAGGCCTCGTAAGTTGGTGGCGGAGTGCTGCAACAGCTTGGCGCAATACCTTCACAAAAAATATAACAGTTTCAATACCAACTCTGGCCAATTAATTCTCTTCGAACGGTGTTACTTGCAAAGTTCAAGACCGGTATTTAAACTACACTCATGTTAAAAAAGTTGAAAACGACAAATAAGCTCAAAAAACAAACAACACAGCAACTAATAAACATACAGAAAGAGTTACGATATCGAACAAATATTTCTTGGCCATCCTCTCTCCTGAATCGTGCATGGACCTAGCAAATCAAAGAAACAAAATTTAGAACATTGGAATATCAAGCTTCTACAAACCATAACAAACAAATGTAGCATAAGCTAGAGTATCATTTATTATTATTATATTCAAAGGGATTTTCTCAAATGCGAAAGGTCGACAATTAAAAATAATTGGATTTCAGTTATGCGAGTTTAGATTCTGTGTAATTCATGAATGACGATTCTGCTACCTACCTCATCTAGAATTTTGACACTTACTAAAAATTATATAACAATAATAGTGGCAGATTCATACAACAAACTACCAAACATCTACGTTTCTTCTATCTTTTACTTTACAAAAGCCGACACATTGTAAATCAATCGGAGCATTTATACAGCACACTTCTACTTTAAAGAAAGTTCTACGGGTGCATGTGTGGTCAATATTATTTGTAACATAACCCTGTTTTTTTATATAGGCGTTTTCGTCACGTGACAAGTGCAAGCGAGCCGGCATATTGAAAGAGCGACAGTTTAAACGTTTCATACAGTTTGGCAATATTATGTCCTCAAACAAAACATTCATTAGAACAGATTATTTAGGATGCTGTATTTGTAGATAGTTCAATTGAAGCACATGATTGTAAACAATTAAAAAATCGCTAAAAGGCAAAAAAGTAAACTCGTTGAGAGGTTAGTTATCAATACATTGTTAATGTACGAATTAAAAACGATTGAATGATTGTATCGTATTAAACTGAGACAATTCATTATTAGCACTATTAGAAACTCTCAATGGGTATTTGAAATTGAGGCTAAATGTGAGATCCTATTTTAGAGAATATTGTAATCCTACTAATGATCATAGAATCATCAGAAGTATGATTGGAGTCAAGCCTAATATATCTTGTTAATCAATTTTTCCAAAGATAGGTATTCTCACAGTTTCAAATTACTCTGAATATCAAAACACAAGAGAATTCCATTCTTAAAAATAGCAGTTTACACAAGTACGATACAAGAAAATCTAACCTACATCAACCATNATACGCAAAATATAGCAATTTTAAGGTGGCAATACTTTTGAAGTTTTTGCCATTTCTGTAAATGAATCCAAGCATCCTATTTGCATCAGCAGTCATATTCCCTATATGTGTTGTAAATGTTAATTTACTGTCGTATGTTATACCAAGATCGTTTATCTCGTGTACGCTGTTGATTGTAGTATTGTTGATTGAACAATCGTACATTAAAGTTCGCTGTTTTGTTGCAAATGATATTATTTTACATTTGGCTACGTTCAGTTGTAGACGATTATTATTACACCAAAGTTTGATTACATCTAAATCATGTTGTACACGTTGGCAGTCATTAATGTCGTCGATTTTATAGTATAGTTTCAGGTAGTCTGCAAATAGTAGGCTAGGAATATTTAAAGAGATTGCCAAGTCATTAATAAAAATAAAAAATAAAAGAGGTCCAAGATTAGAACCTTGTGATACCCCAGATGCAACATGTACTGAGCCAATTTGAAAGATTCATATTCGACGAATTGTTTTCTGTTAACTGGATATGTTTCAAGAGTAAGCAGTTGGTTAGAGACTCCCAATTTTGTCAATTTGCTGAGAAGAACATAAAGGTATATTTGATTGAAGGCTTTTCGAAAGTCTAAATGAACAACATCGACTTGTTTTTGCGGGTCCAGGTACGTACAGAGATATTGATTTAAACATGCAAGATTTGCGAAGTAGGAGAAGTAATTTATTGAATGGGAGTACATTACGAGCTAAGGTGAACATTTTTACTGTCCCAGAGAGCAGGTTTTTACAAAATACACGAAATATATTCCTCATTTTCATTTCCATTTGATATTGGTTCTATAATATGCATCTACACAAAGCTACAGTAATCGCGAACGACCTAAACACACTAGTTTGTTCTTGTCGCTTACATTCCCGCCCGCGCATTGCTCAATCGCCCCACCACCGCTCGTTTCGTGCGCGTCACCTCGTCATCGCTCGGCCTTCGCGATTTTCGTGCCCACAGCCTTAGAATTACACAATTTTTCTAACTTATTCCAATGAAATGTGATTCATTTAATATTTCTTTATTGTTTATTTGTACTCGGATATTCTAACACCACGTTTGTTCACAAAAACTGTGTAAAAAACAGGTCTAATGTTGACGCATGCGCAGAGAAATAATTCACAAATCTTTCCGTTTTTTTATATCATTTCCTGAAAGAAATCTCTCGAAGGTGGGAGGTTCTCACTCCGACACCCTTTATTTATCGTGAAATGTTCTGAAAGATGCAATGATTGCCCCCTAATTCACCTACTACGAAGTCACAATTGTGCAAAGCATGCTTGCCACCAAAAATAAAAAAAAAACACTAAATACATCACACCTTTGTCGCAGTGATCACCCCGCGGTGGTTTCGGCGTCCCCCTGGGGGGTACCGGGGGCGGAATCTTTGTTTTCGTCTCGGTGTTCAAACGACCTACGAGCACGGCGGGGTAGACGGAGGGTGGCGAAGTTATGCTCGCCGTTGTCGTTTGGGATCCACCAACTGGATGAACGGAAGGTACAGATGTTTTGGCGATGACCGTGTCAGTGACGTTTACTGTATATTCGTTAATTATGGGGCGGTGATAGCGAAAATGATCAATGAAAAGGTATCCAAGGAAGAGACATGAAAAAAAGTTTAAGATGAATTCAAGGGTGGGTCAGATGAAATGTTATTCATGAATAACTTTACTGTGAGATTTTTATAACAAAATTTACAATTCCGCAGCATGGGTTTCACTATATATAAATTTCTTGAAAGGAATTGCTATCGACAAAGCCGAGATGTAGATATTATGGTTTCTTTCTTTCTAGAAATCTACTCTTTAAAAAAAAAAACGTGAAACAATTTTGTAGAACTATTAATAGGTATTAGTTGAAAACAAGCCTTCTGTGTCCGTTAGAGCAGGAGTATGTGAGTTAACTTGTAGTTCTTTCCTAATTTTCAAGTTTATCAAAAGAAAAAGGCAATTTTTGAAACCACCTTTTGACAAAGGGGTATGAGGTGAATGACTGTGATGTAATTATATTCGCAAGAAAAAGATGTGAAACTGCTTGAAAATCAATAGATGCAGAACAATGTTTCAATGACCAGATAAAATTGAATGTGTCTCCTCCATTGAATTTCGAATTTGTTTTCAATTAAAATTATTATATACAGCGCTGACTATATGACCTCAACTGTCCTCCTCAAAAAGCTTACCAGTTCTACATATCTCAATCAAACCTAGTAGGCTGGATATTCCAGCCAGGAAGCGACTTATCACCTCCTCTGGAGCAGGATACCTGATAAATCTGTTTTGCAAAAAATTCTTGAGCAACAGAAGCAGAATCTGCATCAGGAGATGTTACAATGTTCAAATAATGAGTCATCTTAACCACAGGCCAAAAAACTCTGCATGATTGAATCTAATAATGTATTATCAGGTAGACCTGATGTACAAAACGAAAGATTGTATTTACAATATACCTTGTTCCTATGTAAAAAATTAAATGGGTGAAACCTCAATACCCCTAAATGTGAGAAAAAATTAACACGTGAATATAAAAGGAGAAGACAGATGCCAGGACCGGGGATTCTGGAGCATATTCTGAAATCAACTGGTGATCATGTTATAGAATGAAGTGAAACATGAAAAAATTAGAAAAACTCAATGAAACCGCATATATTCTCCTAGCAGGTAAGAAGTGNTTTTGAAATCAAGTTGGGAAAAACTTCAAAGAAGTCAAAAACTGTTGTAACATTGGTATTTGTCTCAAGGATGACGATGTAAACTTTTCAAAGTTTGTTTTTACTCTGCATTAGTTACATTGCTATAATTATACTACAAATTTATTAAATCCTATGGACACTGTTTGTGGTTTCGAGTTTCTGAGCCATCAGCTATTGCTTTCTTGGTTGGATGAAAATGAAATGGACCTAATAACTTGGCTCATTAGATGAAGTCTGCGTTCGGGAACATTCCAAGGGAGTACTGACCTAAACTTTTTCATCAACGAGTCCCGTTCGTTCCTATTGAAATCACGACCTATTTCGTGGAATAAAAATCGACATCAAACATTTCAGAATTTAAATAAATTAGTGCAATGTGCTTTAAAAATTGTTTTGTGTTTTCAAATATTTCTGAGCGATTCCTTGCAACTCCATACGTAACAACGCTGTTGAATGCCTGTGTGACCATTCTTTACTGTTTACAAATTTCTCCAGTTCGTGCTACCATTGTTGTTCGTGCATGGTATTTATTGAAATAGTGATTTTAAAGGATGACATATAGTGAAAGGATAATAGAGAGTAATAATGATGCTTTTCTGTTGAGTTTGCAAGCAATACAATTGTTCTAACCAAAAATTGAGATCATAGAGAGTACCAACACAACAAAGTTTGTTACTCATTGGCGTCACAGTGGGTATTAAAATTATAATCCATCATGAGGCATCCAGTAAATTAAATATGTCAACACAACGGGTCAGGAGCATTTGAACAAAAGTTGTTTTTTTGTTGTGAATCAATAAAATAATGGTATATAATTCAAGGAATGAGGAATATGGCCATTTCTCGGGAGTCGAATACTATGCTTTTCTATGACTAAAGTACAGGTTATATGTCCAGTGTAAATTTAAAAAATGCAGGAGACTATGGTGTATAAATTCAACAAAAAACGCTATACAGTGTGTAACAACGAAAACTTAACAGAGCCAAGATTTTTAAAAAAAGCTCGGACACGTAGATTTCTAATTAAAGGGGGACACCTTTCAGACTAATCAGATTTCTTGTAGTACGCACCCCTCGGAGGGGTGCGTCCGACGACCCTTATTTAGATAAGGAAAGTAGGTCAAACCGATACAAAACATAACATGGTGGCAGCGGTAAAGTGCGCGAGATTTTTTTTTAATGCAGTAAACAGAAAAAAAAACCGTCACTGACAAAAAGTTGACTTGGAAAGTTAATAAATTCGTATCTGCTTTATTGTGGTGAACAATTTATATAGGATGGCTGATTTGAAGTCTCCGGAAATGTTTAGTTTTCATGGTGGAAACATTGCCAACAGTTGGAAACTATGGAGAGAAAAATTTGAATTTTACCTGCTTGCCAGCGGAATAGCTGCAAAAGGGGATGAAATCAAGGTTGCAACCCTCATGAATTTATTGGGAGATGAAGGAATTCAGATTTATAACACTTTTGAATATGAAGAAGTCGGAGATTATAAAAAATTAGCTGTGGTTTTAGGAAATTTTGATAACTATTGCAAACCACTTAGAAATCTCGTAAATGAACATTTCAAATTCTTTAAACGAGATCAACAACCGGGAGAATCCGTTGATCAGTTTGTAACTGCATTAAGGCAATTGTCATCCTCATGTGAATTCAAAGAGAAGGACGTTCTGATCAGGGATAGGATTGTTTTAGGTATCNTTATCTTAATCTTCGGAGGATGAATCTTCGCTAAGGTCTGAACTGATGTAATCTGGTTCAGTGTCACTATCTTCTTGCAAGTTGATTATCATGTCGTCTACCATGAAATCTAATGTTGGTTCCTTTTCCATGAAAAACTGTTCGAAACTTTGAGCATGCTCACATCGTTTTTTCCACTCAGCTCTTTCTTGAACTTTTTTAAAGTCCTATATAGGTTTATTTTCTGCCGCTTCTCGTTGCATAAAAGAAATTACATAGGCTATGACTTACCTCGATTGACTTGCCAGCACTTCACGATTTAGGTTTGATTTAAACTCCATCCTGGTTAAGTAACAATACTCAAATTGTACCCTTTACGCTTTTTTTCTGCTCGGACTGTACACTCGGTTAACCCGCGATGCTCACTTCACAACAGACAAATTCGACGGTGGTCTCAAATTAAGATTTTGAAACTTTTTCTTATTCTTGACAAACTGTACATACATGTCTTGAATCTTCCTAGATCAATCCATAGCTATAGGTCAAAGTCTAAGGACATCCACTGATACAGTATACATTACTGATATACTATGTTCATCATGTGCTATCCATGTTAACTTCTAATCTACGGTAACACAATAAAATTTGTTTTCAAGGACTTGTTTTATAGACCTGTGGACACATTTTTTCAAATCATACATTGTGTTGAGAACGTTATTAATACTCCTTTTTAATTGCACCAAAGTGAAATTGTACACACACCTATTGGATTTTTCTACAGATAATTCAAAATTATCCTCAGCTATCATGAGTCCATCTGTGTCATCTGAATGTACTATCACTTTACTTGGATAAGTATGAGAGTTATGCCATTCATGAATATAATGAACAACAAAGGATATAAAATCAATGATTGAGATACCCCCATTGTTACGTTCACTGGGACTAATTCAACAGTGTCAAATATGTGCGTTTGTTTTTCTAAGTGAAGCTGGTTGATACAATAACTTTCTGATTTGTTTAACAAACAACTGCATTTTCATTCAATGCAAAATAATGATTGTGCCCTAATTCAGACTTCTAACATATATATACGAAGGTGCGGAAACAAAACTCACCTAACAGCATCGTCTTTGTAACTCCTGACGACAATATGGTGATGGGAAATGTAAGACTGGCTGGAAGAATGGGATCCCAAATGGGCATTCGAGGTTGAGGAAGAAGTAGCGCCTACGGTTAACGGTATATCACCGGTATTTTGATCCAAGGCCTCGTAAGTTGGTGGCGGAGTGCTGCAGCAGCTTGGCGCAATACCTTCACAAAAAATATAACAGTTTCAATACCAACTCTGGCCAATTAATTCTCTTCGAACGGTGTTACTTGCAAAGTTCAAGACCGGTATTTAAACTACACTCATGTTAAAAAAGTTGAAAACGACAAATAAGCTCAAAAAACAAACAACACAGCAACTAATAAACATACAGAAAGAGTTACGATATCGAACAAATATTTCTTGGCCATCCTCTCTCCTGAATCGTGCATGGACCTAGCAAATCAAAGAAACAAAATTTAGAACATTGGAATATCAAGCTTCTACAAACCATAACAAACAAATGTAGCATAAGCTAGAGTATCATTTATTATTATTATATTCAAAGGGATTTTCTCAAATGCGAAAGGTCGACAATTAAAAATAATTGGATTTCAGTTATGCGAGTTTAGATTCTGTGTAATTCATGAATGACGATTCTGCTACCTACCTCATCTAGAATTTTGACACTTACTAAAAATTATATAACAATAATAGTGGCAGATTCATACAACAAACTACCAAACTTCTACGTTCCTTCTATCTTTTACTTTACAAAAGCTGACACATTGTAAATCAATCGGAGCATTTATACAGCACACTTCTACTTTAAAGAAAGTTCTACGGGTGCATGTGTGGTCAATATTATTTGTAACATAACCCTGTTTTTTTATATAGGCGTTTTCGTCACGTGACAAGTGCAAGCGAGCCGGCATATTGAAAGAGCGACAGTTTAAACGTTTCATACAGTTTGGCAATATTATGTCCTCAAACAAAACATTCATTAGAACAGATTATTTAGGATGCTGTATTTGTAGATAGTTCAATTGAAGCACATGATTGTAAACAATTAAAA